CTGACAAAACCTCTAACTTTTATCGGTTTAGAAACAGCCTACTGAGCCATTGTAAATGAAGAGCACCGGTGGTTGATTACATGCAGTCGTTCAGCACGTGATTGTCACAGTTTGTTAACTTCAAAATACAAACAGAATTGATCTCGCAGTGGTTTCTGGTTTTGTTTCTGTTCTGGTTAGGAGGTAAAAACAACAATAAAACGCATAAAACTGTGTCCCTCGTTAACAAGCAAGTTATTTCTGGCGATTTCTCGGGGGACAACATTAGGGAGGGCTTTTGTCAACTCTGTCCCCCCACTTGACAAGGCTCTGACTACGCCCCTGCCTACATACAACAGCAGATCAAGTCGGCTACGTTGAATGAGGAGTAGCTAAATGCCCGTTTGGCCAATTCATACCTAAGGCAGGCAGCTTTCCGAAAACGTTTTCCGGCGGTGGTGTAGTGAAGGGGAAGAAAATTCGGGAAGATACTGCTGCAAGTGTTCAATATATGTTTTGCACACTAATGAGTAGTAATGTTTGTTTTAAATATGCAGCAGAGCAGCCATAAGATCAGTTTGCAGTCAGTCATGCGGGGGACAGCCTGGCCAGCGTAGTGGCAGCCGACGGCGGACGGGAGCAGCGCCCAGATAACGAATGTCTAACAAAAAGGCCTTCATAAACAGTAACTTATTAAACAGTAACTTCAAACAGTAACTTATTTTTACAGGAGGAACTCCAGTTTTACTGTTTTTTGTCGCATGTTTGGCAGCTGGGACTTGAAGTTTCCAAATTTAATCCCGCTTAGAAGACTCCAACGGATCTTATCTTTTGAAAAGCATCCGGCGAAATCTAAGCGAAATCTGAAAACTCTGGCGCATGGTGAGCTATCGGCTCGTATTCAAAATTCTGACCAAACTATGTCCCGGTCGTATTTTGGCACCTACCCTGTGAAGGTAGATGCTTTCTTAATGACCCAAGATGCCAACTGGCTCCTGGAATTTCGCCTCCCCAGCGAAAACAGTATTGAAATGGACGAGTAATCTTGGAAAACTAGGTGCTCTTATTTTCTGAATGGCATAGATGAGTCGAAAAGGCGAGATTGTGCACCAGTGAGGAGCAGCTGGAGATATATATCTAGCATAGCAACCATGACATCTAGTTATATCCAAAACATATTATGTGAATTAGGAACGCACAATAGCCTCCTTGCATACCCCAAAAACACCCTATTGTTATTGGGCGAATTATCCATGCCCATTATGTTATTGGCGATTTGCTGTTTTGCTATCATTTGATATGTTCAATATGCACAACTTGTTAAATCTGCTTAAAAATATTGGGTCCGAGCCTAGCTGGCCCCAGTTTGTAGTCTTGCTCCATCATTTTATTTTCTGTTTTGCCTTCGCCCCTTAGAGCCTGAAAATGTTATTTGCTGACCAAAATGGCTTTGATCCCGATACAAAAAACAAATCCCATCAGGTGTATCAAACCAGGAGCCCATTGGGACATCGCACCTGGGGCAAGCAACCGAAGGACCAGCAAAAATACACACTGATAATTTCTGTAGCAAGCCAATTACTTTGTCGGTAGCCTGTTAAAGTAATAAGCTTGTCGTTCCCATTACGGCATGGGGGCACGCAAAACCATAGGCAGCCCAAGGCCCCATTCGCTACTAATGACGCCCCTGTTCCACACAGTCGCCGAGACCATTCTGCTGGCTCATGGGCCTCGCTCCATCGAGCCACGGTTCACGGATGACCGCAAGGAGGGATCTTCATGGCTTATGCTTGAAAGAAACATATCAGACCCATAGTTTGCCTTTTTTATTGATGCGAAACAATAAGTTACCATACCACCAGCTGTCTGTTAGTGTTAAGCTCTTTTTTATATTTTACTAGCTGTGTGCTTATAGCCTGGAAAGCACCACGTATAATCGTGGAGGTACAAACTCGGTGCGTCTGGGACAAAATTAAACTATTCTCATATCGCTCATAGCCTCGCCGTCATCAATTGAAGGGTCCCCGTTTTGTGAGCCGGCTGGGGTTTCATTAAGTTTGGCCAGTGTTTGGCGGTGTACTACGATCTTTGATCACCACCACATCCAGCAAATTGAGACAAGCAAGGTAAGCCTTTATTGTCACTTAATGTCTTCCCCTCCAATAAGGGAATCGGGCCCGGGGTTCAGCATGGTAGCTTCACTTAAAAAGGTTCCGCAATGACAAGGCTTCTAATTGATGCTACTGCAGTGACTGAATCCATGCCTCTGAGTAATAATTTGTATGTTTCTGGCCTTTCAACTAATGGGAATGTTTCTGCGTCATGTAAGGTGCTGGTATTCAATGGTGTTCGTTGTTTTGGTCAACTTGCCAACCCATTTTTGTCACGCTGTGATAGCATGCTGGTGCTGTTAAGTTATCTTAAAGAAAACTTAAAACAAGTTTTACCTCTGCAAAGTATCATCCCTCTTAGCATGGTTGTTCATAATCTGCAAATCATCATGGTCTTCAAATGCCATCCAATAAAATGGCAACAGTGGCAGTGTCGGCAAATTAATGTGTTTCTCTGAAAAATGTAGATGTTTTGGGTAGGTGGAATACTGGGCTCAGACTATGAATGGATGGGCTGGGAGAGTACCACTCATAAGGTGGGTCTCTGCATCCTTTACTGCTATCATTTCAAAGTGTTGTGACACTGATGGCTCATGCCTCCTGGAGATGGTTGGTAATTTTTTCAGTTTGTGTGCTTGATGTTTGTGCCTACTTGATATCATAAGACATCTTAAAACTCAATGGTACTTTGCCTGAATTCATATTTGGACAGTGATTAATTCCATTTCTGGATATTCTTGTCAATGCTGCATCTCTTATTAGGTAGTATGTCTTCTAGTTCAGCTCTGTAAATCCTGTGTTGAAAAACATGTTGGTAAGCTACTATTAGGACAGAATGTGTTTCTACATAACTTGCATTCCACAAGGACATTTGATTACTTTTGAGAGGCAGTTTGGTCTCATAGTTTCTACAGACATTTCCATGTTGTGCTGAATGTGGGGTATGCAGGAGCTCCCTTAAGTCATAATTGATCATGTTTAGATCATGAAAAAAGGTTTCTTGTAAAGGCTGGCATCCCCCATTGTATTTGGAGTCCAGCATTATAATGCAGTTCATACAATCAATGTCACCATTTCTTACTGGTGTGTCAACCACACTACATGCATGGCAACTTGAGCCACATATTTATTACACCACATCCAATCATGCCAAAACTACTCTGGGTTGTGGTCGCCTGGCTGTTCCTCAGTCAGGTGCTTCTGGTTGGCAGAGCTGCTCTGTTGCGCTGTCCAGCGTCTGTCGGCCGGGTGCGCCGGAGACGGCGCCACGTGGTCGTGCCTGACAGACTCCCTGCCATCCTGCAGGATGATCACAGATGTGCAGCTGGCCGTGTTTGTGAACCTGCTGGGCGTCTCGCTCTTCCTGTTGGTGGTGGCCTACCACTACGTGGCCGCCAACAACCCCCGGCACGCCTGAGCATGGTACGGCACCCGGCGAAACCGACCGGCCGGCGCCGCACTGAAGACGTTGCTGGTGGGAAGGAACATTTGGGGTGGGAATGTCCGTTGGGGCCTGGTGTGGCTCCCTGGGTGGCAGCGATAGTTGTACCTTGATTAAATGATTTTGCTCCCAAGTGGAGGGTTGACCCCCGACGGCGCCGGCTTGTCCCTGCCCCCCCCCCCTTTCCCGATCATCGGGTAGGCCCCAGAAAACAAATTTTTGCTATGCCCTTGCGTGGGACGCGTGTCATTCTATTGGCTTATTGTGAAATAGGTTTTTATTGCATTTGATGTCATGTAGCTCAGTTACACTGGATCCCATACCTCATTTAATGTCAATTTAACGTGCAGCGTTACTTCAAATCGTTTCATGATGGCTCTGCTTTGGCGGCATTGGAGTGAGAGGCCTAGCTTTGCAAGGATTGTGATTTTTCCAGGACATAATGACACACCACGCAAATGATCATGACAGACAACTCCCCAGCTTGTTGGCCCATTGACATTACAATTTTGTGTGTCTGCTTCCGTTTCCCCGTTGGTTTCCGTGTACACCGGTTGTTGGGTATCCGTTCCTCGTTGTGCTGACTGGTTTCGACTGTCGATTGGTTTCAGACTGCGGTCGCTGGGTGCAGGTCCAGATCCAGGCGGCCATGCGCAGCTGCAAGCGACCCGTCACTTGGCTCCATTCCACTACGGTTTCCTTTCTGTGATGCACTGCGTGTTGACATGCAAATAAACTGACAGAAATTTCTGGCTGGTTTTACCTCAGATTTCAGACCGTCCGAAACATTGCACAAATTATGACAATGCTAATTTTATCAGATGTCAAGGCGGTTAGGGCCGTAAATCCAGTGTTTGATAGCATTGATCAGTATAACGGGTAGATTAAAGGAAGTGTTTGGTGAGTCATTATAAGCAATCACCCAAATACTAACTGCCTTGTTTTTACCTGCAAACTTCTGCCATAACTGATATCCACATCTCCATCTCGTATGCTGCTTGAGTCGGAACACCACCTGGTGGTAATCTGTGTAAACTGCAGCCACAGAAACGACTGAAGGTGGCATCGAGACAGGTGAAAAAGTAACCTTACGAAACATTGCAAGACTTGTATTTCCCTGTTGGCTTAACATTATGCTGATATGTCCCTGCCCACATTCTGTCTGTTGAGGTTTACGTTATCGCCACCAGCAGCGGTGTGTCCTGTCATCGGGTAACGTACTCTTCTCGTGGCAGAACTTGCCACCGTAGCTGGCAGGCAGGCAGTCTGGCAGAGGGCTGCCCCTTAGGCAGCGCTTTTCCGATGCTCTTAAGAAAGAAGTCCGATTCGCAAGTGGAATATTCGTAATTATGGCACGCATGCTCTCGAACAATCGCATCTAGCGCAGCGTTGGCGCCGACGTCTGGGTCAAGGCACTGGGACGGGAACGGGTGCTGCCCCCCCCCCCCCCCCCCGCCCCGCCCTCCCTACGAACCGACAGGTCCTAGCACCACTATCGTGTTGTACAAAAGATCTGTGTAAGAAAAACGTTCGCCTCCGTTCCGATATTTCGGAGGGTACATCACCACTGCTAAACATCACCTATAGTCCCTATCCCATCTGACACGAGACTCCAACGAGGTCTGGTGTCCATAATCTCTGCGTTGGATGGTCTCAGTGAGTATGGATGTATCGCTTCGGTCCAGGTCTGATTGGTGGCCTCCGCCGCTCGCCAGCCGCCGTTGCGTCCTGCCCGGGCGCCGGACCACCCCTGGCTGCCTATTGCTGGCGCGTCGACTCCGGTCTGTGACGTCACGGCGGTCACACCAGGCTGTGCGTGATCGGCTGCGCGGCCGCGTCCACGCCGTCACCTGGCGGGGGGGGGGGGGGGAGGCGCGTCACAGGTGTGTCACCAGGGAGATCTGCACCATGAGGTGGGCTGGCACACGATACCCAGTGTCTAAATGCGACACTCACAACGCTTACGCTCTCACGTGCGACAGTCTCAAGTTTTTTGGATGGAACAGATACGACCACCTTGGGGTGGGAATTTCTTGATATCAAAGGTGCAGCTGTCATGCTGCTGTCTGCCATTGTCACATGGACATGTCACACACATACGCCGCCATGGACAGGGGGGAATGCGTGGTGGGGACGGGGGGGACGGGGAGCACTCACGTGGCTGGCGGCTACCGTCCTGCATGAGGTAGGAGCTGGGCGCAAGGCCGGCCGTCAGGTGGTCGTCCCGGTGCAGGTACTCGCACTCAACGGTCAGCTCGCCGGCCTCGCCCCGGCGCACCAGCAGCCGCGTCTGACCCGTGTTCCAGCTGAAGTGTAGCTGGGGGCCGGCCGTCAGGTGGCGCTGCAGCAGCAGCAGGCCGTGCTGCTGCTGCAGGTGTAGCAGCAGCAGGTGGATCAACCCAGCGTGGCTGAACACGACCACCTCGCCACCGCCGCCGCTGCCGCTGCCACCGCTGCCTCCGTCGTCCGTCATCTCGCGCACCAGCCGCTCGAAGAAGGTGGCGGCGCGCTTCCGGGCGTCGGCCACCGACTCGAGACCAGCGAGCGGCTGGCCCGAGCTGCGCGCCTCCGCTTGAAGACGCGTCGCCTCGGCGTACGTCAGCCCGTGCAACGGGCCGCTCTCACGTTCGCGCACGAGCGGCTCGAGTCGTGCCGAGGCGGCGACGGCCGTCCCCAGCGCGCGCTCACACGTCTCACGTGCCCGCTGCGTGTCGCTGCTGACCACCAGCACGAACGTGGCGCCCTCAGCGGCCAAGGCGGCACCCAAAGCTTCGGCCTGGCGCCGCCCGGTGGCGTTGAGCGGCGTGGGCGTATGCGCCTCGACCAGTTCCTGCACGTTGGCGTCCGTTTCGCCGTGTCGGATGAGACGCAGGTGGAACGAGGTTGCCATGATGACAGAGTGGTGACCCTGGAGCACTCTGGAACGGCGACAAGGGTACTGATCCTGGGCCGCCAGCTGACGTGGCGCGGCCGAGCGCGACGAGCCACAATCTAGTAACATTACTCCCCCCTCCCCCTGGAGAGGGAGACGGCCTGATATTGCGGATGGTGAGGTTGACCTTTTTGGCTGGGCCGCCCCCCCCCCAACCGATTTCAGAAAGCGACACCTCTGACGTCCCCCCGCGCGGTATTAGATTGTTTGGATTGTAGCCCTTTGGACAAGAAACGATCATTTCAGGGTTATGGAACAGAGGAGAATTGATAACGATGGAGCAGGACTACGTAGGCTTGACGGGCCGCGATGATGCAGGACGAAGCTAGAAAGGGGATAAGAGGGTCGGATGGATGCCCCCACTCACCTCCCGGCCTGTCGCGCAGCGAATTGCCGCGCTGGTCTGCTGACGACGCGGATCCACATCCCGACCAGCGTACACTAACATGCTGCACCCGAGCAACGCGCAAGTCCCGCTGATAAAAATCGTGCCGCCTGGGGTCAAACGTGTCATACCCCTCTGCGACCCCACACAATTGTGCACTCGTGCCTCCGTGCTGCTGGGGGTCTCTGCGAAGCACGGCGGGTGGGTGGCCCATTGTTCGGGTGCACGGCGCGGTCGCCGGTCTAAGTATATCGGTTGACGGCCGCCGGGAGTCTTCGCTGCGCTCGGTCCGGAGTAGGGACCGTGGGCCGCACTTCTCGGTACACGGTAGAAGGTATGTGCGGCATGTGTATATGCGATATATATAGCAATGTGCGATGCATGCAGAAGGTATCACCGAAGGTACGTGCGGTGGGAACACTGACCTGGGCGGCTTTGGGTGATGGTCGCTGCCGGCAAGCTCCGAACGCTTCGCTGGCGACGGTCCGGTGCCGGGCAACGAGGCAATATTTAGACAGCTGGTAACGTGCGGCGCCGGTCACAGCGCCCACGTCGCGCGATAGGCTGCACTCCTTGCTGCTAGAGCAGCGCTGGCCGCCACTGGGAGACGCCGTCTGACTTAGAAGCGACGGGCGCCCAGTTTATCTAATCGGCGTCAGCTATTGATCGCGCCGGGCTCAGGTTGGCCAGCTGATTGCCGAGGTCGCCAGCGCTCTGACTTCGGTCCCGGCTCAGCGTCCCTTCACCCATCGACAAAAAACGCGGCTCGTTGTTGTGGCAACTTCTGGTTATGATAGCATGCGCGCAGTGGCGCGCCCAGGAGGGCGCCGCGGACGGTCACCACATCAGGGCAAAACGGCAATATTGGAGCCATGGAATGAAAAATTGTGCAGGGCCTTAGGTCATCGTCCCAAAGTAGTCCTTGGCCCTTGTATCACTGGGAAATGTTAACGCCATTTGGTCCGATTAAAGTGAATTTTGAAATTCGAAGATATGGAAGCAAACACCAAGGGTGTTATGGTGCCGAGCCGGTGGATAACACCGGTTACATATATGTCTACTTTAAGGCGACGCTTGGTGTCAATAAAATGTTTTTGCCCGAAAGTTTTGGTGACGCCGACAGCAAAACATTACAACACGCATTACATAGCCTATTATCGGACTTCAATGGTTATTTGTGTTAGAGCCCTCCCGACCAGAGGTGATCATTTCATGGCTATGTGATGAAGGAGGATGGACAACGGTGGGGCAGGACTACATGCGCCTGGGGGCCGACCGCGAGCCTTAGCCCACGCAGAGACCCCTTGGAATGTGCTCTGGGCGCCAGGTCGGGGTTCCCCTCCAGGAGGTCTCTCGGCTCACGCGTGGCTGACGCATGTAGCCTGCCCCGGATAAGCGGGTTGTTGCGAGAATGCAGGCTTAAGCAAGAAAAATAAGATAAGAGGGTCGGATGAGGGCTTCAATGCTAATACATTGCATCCCACAACATGAGCAGGACTCTACATAAAGACCAGTTACCGTACCTTACGGCGCCATGGTATCTTTCTTAGGTTTCCTCCCCTCCCGACGACAAAAATTTCCTATGATTTTGACTTCATCGCTCGATTCGGTAGCAGGTCGGCGACAAATCAGTGTATTTCCTGTGGCCCAGCCGGTCGGTGGATTAGCTGTTTTTACCAGCCAACTCTCAGTGTCCCAAACTAGACAGCAGACAACTGAAATAGCTCTAGATATGGCGATTTATCTGGTCGCCAGGGCATCCTTCAGTCGTTGCGATGCAACTTAGATATGTGAGGTTGACATATATATATATATATATATATATATATATATATATGTATGTATATATATATATATATATATATATATATATATATATATATATATATATATATATATGTATATATACATACATGGCGCTGATTTTGAATGTACTTGGGATTTGCAAGCTGCACTCGCATTGCACTTTCAATAATACTTGGGTTTCTGGGTTTCGGGTTTGCTCTCTTTCTGCAGTCTGGCATCGGATTTAGTTTCTGGGCCTTGTGTGATTTCATCATTAACAATGCTGGGGAAGTCGGCGAGATGATCCAATCAAGGTAGAAATTAAGCTTTGATTTTCCATATTGGCTTTTCGAGGCACAGAAAAGCCACAGAGAAGGCTACTGACTCGCCGTAGTAATCACAGGCACCGACCCTTCCTCCCTTTGAAGAGAACCGTGGGTTCGGTGCTGATGAACCGTGGGTTCGGTGCTGATGAACCGTGGGTTCGGTGCTGATGGGGTTATGCACTCCTAAGGGTCTCAGGGAAGGGAATGTCAGGAAGTGAAAGTGGTTCTAAAGTGTAGATATATGTCACTGTTGCTTTGTTCTTGATTGAGCATGGTTACCAGTCACATTAATCTTAAAATCGAGGTTTCTTCCTAGTCCCTATTCAGTTTAGGCCTCCAGCCCCCCCCCCATATTTTGGGAAGAAGCGCGCCAAGTCTGGAGAAAATATTTTTTTAGAAGACATACAAGACGTATATAACTATAGAACATATATACATAAAAAATGAATACGACATCTGGCCAACCTTTCAGGTCCCCCGCGTCCCAAAGTTAGGCCCTCAGTCGTCGGCCATAACCTAAGGAGAGGGCACACGCCCCTTGTGCCCCCCTCCCCCCACCATCTTACCTACGTCACTGCATGAGCCTGCAGTTAAAGGATTAGCCACGTGATATAAGATAAGTGTGAAATAAGTATGTAACGTGAAGAAAAAAATGGGCTGAGTATTTTTGTGCTCTGTTAGGGACACACATGGCCTTTGCCGGAGCAGAGATCGCGTGTGTCGACAAGGCCAAGTGCCTCGGTTGTTTGTTAGGTGCTAGTCAGGAGGATACATTAAAGCGACACACTACGGCATCGCTGCTAACAGCTGAAATATGATAGCCTTAAACGTGATGGATGATTGACAACTACCTCCTGTTTTTATTGATGGTTCCTTATTAAATGGTCGGACGCACTAGTAATGGTTCTTGCCGTTAACAAGTCGGGGCCGTCTGAGAAGTAAAAAAGGTGACTTTAGCACACCAAATCATTATGCGTGCTCTGCCTGTTACGATAGGCTGGATTTGGATGAATTACGATGAGTTTTTGCAGGTTATTGAAATTTTTGCTCTCATGGGTCGAAGTGGATGTGGTTTATGATCGGCGAAACGTGCGCTGACTGCATTTAAAAACGCGTGACTGGATTGGGTGGATCCCGGAAACCAAGCACTAAATACCTGTGGATCCTCAAGATCCCAAAAACTGTGGATCTGGTGGGCTCAAAGGCAACGCAAACCCGTCCCTTAACAAATGGGCCCTGGCTCGCCAGCCCCCCCCCCCCCCCCCACCTCCCCTCCCCACACCCCCAAAACTGTCTCCCAATCACTGGAGTGAAAGCACTAAGTGAATTCTGGCTCCCCTAGTCCATTTCTCTCAACTGTTGGGTTCCCTGCCTCTTCGTATCATCGCATCGAAAGCCTTATATAACAGAGCTAAATGTTTTCGTTTGGCCACCAGTAACTTGAGACCCGTCGGTGGCAGACCCCGACACCCGATATATTCTGAAGCGACGTCGCGAGGGAAGGGCTTGTTTGTAGAAGCTTGATCCAGATCGGACCGTCGTGTGTGGTACGGCGCGTGAAGCGCTGCCCATCGTGTTAGCATTGGGACGGTAGGCTCTATGCCATTGAAAACGAATATCATATGCATAGGCATATGAACGGCTTTATTTCATATTTGATATTATATGTGCTTTATTTCATTTTTGATATTCTATATGCTATATTTCGTGCTTGATATTATATATGCCATCTTTCAAAGATGATATGAAATAAATATGATATGCATAAAGCAGCGAAGAATATAGACTGTCGCACTCTCACCAATTAGACATCTGACGGTTACGAGGAGACGGATGGAGTTACGTGGAAAGCCAGAATATAACGAACAGCAGACTAACCAACACAACTTATGTGATGGCTATGAAACATATTCATAAGCGACTATCTATAGCTGCATAATTTACCGCGTGGCGCGTGGTAAGTGACGGACAGAGCATCAGTAAGCACCTCACCACCAAGCGCACTTAAACGGCATCAAAAGAGCAGGACAGTTCGCCGATCAACTGTTACAAGTTGGGAACGGCCAGATCCAGACATAAGAAAGCCAAGCCAACTTTCCCTGCAGCAAAAACGAAGACTTGATCGGCGGCCTCCTGGTAAAGGCCTTCCTGGCTTGGAAGAATGGCACCAGGACCCAGCCTGGCTCAGCGAGCATGTCACCCGGTGTCTGAAAACTTCTCTGCTGACGAGATGAGCTTAAGCTTCCAGCGAGCCAGCCGAGGGTGGCGAGGGCTCCAGGTCGGCGGACACTAGCTGGACATCAGGTGAGGCTGTAAATTTCCGACTGGAGCTTCTCAGCAGCCTCGAAACACCAGAACTGTCATTACATAACGAGTACATTACATAACTTCAGCAAGGTGCGCCCATCACGCTCTTCCGAAACCTGGAGCCCCAAGCTCTGTGATGGCGACCATCATAGCAGGCGGGGCCAGGGCCAAGCTCATAGCAGGCGGGGCCAGGGCCAAGCTCATAGCAGGCGGGGCCAGGCTTGCAGAGGCCCTCATTCCGAGAAAAGCGCTGGTCCCATCTCACGTGCCCTTCGAGTTCAAACGAATCCAACTTCATGTCAAGCTGAGCTATATCGTTACTGTGAACCAAAGCCAGTGTTTGTAAGGCAATAGGTCCCAATCTGACTGAGCCAGTGTTCTCCCAGGGTTAGCTTCACCTTGGCAGCTACAGAGTGAGAAATCGACCTGTTTGTCCTGTCACGAGAGAACCCTTGGCGGGGGGGAGCACCTGCCAAAGGAGCAAAGCGCACACTGGTATCCAGCCAGCACTTGCCCATTGCTGCATTGTGTCGTGCATGACCTCGGTTACTCAGCGCTCTACCTGTCCGCCGCCGCGAACGCCCGAG